CCGCCCTGCCTGCAGTATGCAAATTAGCCGCCATCTTTGTTGGCGGTTAATTTGCATATCGTGCTGATTAGCCAATGGGAGGCACAGCGAAGGTACGGTCAATTACCATGTTTGTCTATTATTAGATAGGATGATTAAACAGGATCATAAGAACTAAGTGAATTGCTAAGTTCACATGTCCAGTAAGAGCTTGATGCAGAGAATATCGGTTTGAGAATAGGTACTAAGGCTAAACTTCCCTTCATAATGTGCTCACTTGACTGAAAAGGTGACAAGTGATCAACCTAAATTGAGAGACTAACAGAGGTGGCAAAAAGGTACCACGTGCTTACCTCCATGTCCAAACTGGAAATTATCTAACCATGGCAATTGTGGTAGTGATGGGGATAGTGGTGGTAGCTGTTTTTAGTTTTTTAAATTAGCCTGCTTTTTTTGGTGGCCCAGAGAAATCTAGGAAACATTCATAGTAAGCAAGGATGGGCAAGTAACAGATAATCTATGGTTTATATAAAACAAATATGCTGAATAAGAACCTAGGAAGCTTCCCTCCCTCCCACAACCTCTGTTTCTTTGCAAAGCTTTGTTGTTGAGAAAGAAAAGATGGGGAGGCATAATCCTAGAGCTACATAAGGACACATCTGGCTTCTCTTTCTGCTCTGTGATGAAATAAGACTAAAAATATAAAGGACCATTCTATTCAAGAATGGCTCTTATTTCTCATGGACTTCCCTTCTCCTTACCAGAAGCCCAATATGTAGGTGAAAGGTAATGTAGGCTGCTCATAATAGCAGGAAGGTCTCCTGCTGGAAGACAATGCAGAGACAGAGAGAGGTTTGGGGGAAGATAAACTAGCTAAGTCATATTGGCTTTCAAGCCATTAGATAAAATTGGAGTAAGGACATTATCAGGCAGACAGTGGTGGCTGTGCTCAGAATGTATGATTTGATCATTTTGTTCTACTTTCAAGGGAAATCAGCAGCAGTGGATCTAGGATAAGAAATAATACAATAGAAAGAATATGGGCTTTTGAGCCAGACAACCTGTGTCCCAATTCCAGTTCATCAAGTTACCAAGCAAGTTACATTTCATGTACAGAAACAGTTACCAAGATGGAGTTTGGGCTCTCCCCACCACAAATGACATTTTCTCAATAAGAATAGACCAATTTTAAGGGTCTCTGGTAACAGAAAATGACAGGAAATGAATTTGTCAGAGCTCTGAAAATCTATCAATATAGAGGGTTAATCCAACATCTTGTGACCAAAAGCACCTTCAAAACCCTTGTCCCTTCATAGCTGAGGTAGTTCCTATTGTATTCCTGCTTTGATTTTTTTTTTCTATCACAATAGACACAGGAACCTGGAATTGTTACATGGATTCCAAATCCCAAAAACTCACCATTGACAATCAGTTGTATGGTGAGGTTTTTGTAGAGTCCATGCTTGCTGTTGCTCAGAGCAAAAGTGTAGTTCCCCGCATGCTTTACATTCACTTCCAGGATTGTAAGTTTGTACTTGACAGGGTCAAGTTGAATGGTATGGTTTACTAGGAGTGGTTTTCCATCTTTGAACCTGTGAGGCATGGGGAAGGAATGGTTAGTACAGTGACAGCTTCTAGGACATACAGCTTTCTACCCCAGTGACATTTTGATTATGCTTCATCATGATCAGCAAAGAGAGGTTAAGCAGTAGAATCCTCTCTATAAAATTCTCAGGCTGGAGCACCTTTGTATAGCCACACTGGTATTAAAAAATTAAATCTGTCTTTTTCTTTTTCCTTAATAATAAAAACTTTTGGAAAGTGGCCTCACCCATGCTTCCACTTTCTCATTTTCCATTCATTCCTTAACACTTGAAACTCAGAGTTTTCTCTCTGACATTCAAAACCATATTCTTCATGTTTACCAGCAATGCCCTGCTTATCAAAGCCAGTGGCCTTCTCTCAGCATTCATAAACTTCAGATCTTCGAGAGCCTCTGGGACACTATTCTAATCATTGTTTCTCTCTCTTCTTCACTGACTCTTCTTCCATTTCCTTCCCCCTTAATTATGTTTCCTACAGAGCAAGAACTTAAAATATTTCAGCAAACTGCAGAAATAAGGAGATAGGGGGCTTTGGATAAGAAATTTAGGAGTTACTAATGATCTGAATATGTTGTGTAAATATCAGTAATAACATAATAAAGGCTTAAACCCCCCAATATAAATGTTCCCCTGGATTTTGCCTTTGGGTTCTTTTATCTGGATGCACTCTGCCTGGGTGCATTTATCCACTCCCAATTGATGACTCCCCAGCTGACAGCTTCAACATGTAGTTCCAGACCCATATTTCAAAATGTTAATTGACTATCTCTAAATAAGCTCATCCTGGTGTTCCTTTCCTGCTCCATTCACACTACATTTTCATCCTGATGAAACCCAGACTGGTAATAGCAGCACCAGTCTCACATTCCACCAAACTTGAAAATTGTGAAAGAATTATAATTTTGGGTTTTGATTCAGACATCTAATTGGATACTGAATCCTGAAGATTCTGCCTCTGCAATGTTTTCCAAATCTATTTCTTATATTTCATTGCCTTCAGATTATGCAGGGCCATATAATGTCTCACAACTATTGCTATAACCCTATAAGCTGGTAGCTATTTCTCTAGTCTTTCTCCATTTCAAACCATTTGACACACATAAGGCCATGTTAATATTCCTAAAGCTTAGCATCAAATTTATCACTCCCAACTCCAGTCTTTGATGATTCTCTACTGTCTACTTTAATAAGCAATAGAGATTTAAAAAAAAACCAATAATTTATCATTTACTCCTTAGAACAATTCTATAATAATAGAATATCACCACACAAATTTTACAGATAAAGAAACTGAAACTTAGAGAGTTTAAGTAACTTGCTTGGTAACTTGATGAACTGGAATTAGAACACAGGTTGTCTGGCTCAAAAGCCCATATTCTTTCTATTGTATTATTTCTTACCCTTAAAGTATCTCTATTAGACTGGGTAAGATTACCTTCAAGACTCCTTCCAAATCTGAGATTATGGAATTCTGCAATGGCCTTGGTACCTTCCCAGTCTTATTTCCTCCTCTCTTTTCAGAGTAGAAAACTCATTTTTCCAAATACATGAAAGATCAATAAAAGAAAATGGAAACAAGCAAAGAAGCCTATAGAGGAGAAGATAAAGCACTAGTTTCTAGAGCTGTCAGTGCCCTGAAAGTAGGATTGGGGTTAGAGTATATTTCTGAGTCCTCACTACCTAGCCCAGGGTCTGCTGCAAGACTGACCCCAGTAAGGATGTATTGAAGGAACAGGTGTTAAGGGTGGGAATTAAGAGACTCTGGGAAACAGGAAACACCCAGGATAAAAGGCCCTACTTACCAGGTTATATTGGGGTGAGGGAAAGCATCCACTCTTACTCCCATTTTGAGCATACTTTGTCCAGCTGTCACCTCATAAATGCGGCTTCTCTTGTAGCTCACATTGAGGAATGGTTTTTCTGGAAGTAGAACAGGATGGAGTCAGAAGAAGAAGGTTTAACTGAGTCCCAATTTTGTTCACACTTCCCATTAGCAATCACATCCTTCCCAGCCCCAGAAGGATCAATCTTGATTATCATAAGCTGGTGTTTCTCAGTGTGGATTGGAGGGAGGCACTGTTGGAATTTTTAAAGGGATAATTCTTTTTTTTCATTTTTCTTTTTTTTAAATCTTCACCCGAGGATATATTCATTGATTTTTTTTAATTCTTTTTTTGTTGTTGACAGTATTACAGATGTTTCCCATTTTCTCCCTTTCTGCTCCCTTCTACCCAATCCCTGCACCACACCAGGCCGTCCTCATACTATTATCTGTGTCCATGAGATATGCATATCCTATATAATAAAGAGCTAATATGCAAATGGTCATCACACCTTCATGCTGTCACACCCTAATGGCTTAGACACTCAACACTGGGGAGAGAGTAATGGGGACCAGCCAGGCACAAATGAGCTTGTGAGAGAAGAAAAGGGACCAGCCAGGCTGCAGCCCAGGAGAGGGACCTGCACCTGCCCTGCGGACCCGGGTGCCAGCAGCTGGGGCTGCAGCCCAGGAGAGGGACAAGCCGCCTGCCCCATGGTCCCGGGTTCCAGCAGCTGCGTCTGCACCTGTGGCCTGGGAAAGGGACAAGCCACCCACCCCGCAATCCCAGGTGCCTGTTGCTGTGGTCCCGGCAAAGCCGCCCACCCAGAGTCCCCTGTGGCTACAGCCAGTCTGGGCAAAGCCAGCCGGGTTCTGAGTGCCTGCAGCTAGCCAGAGGGAGGGAAGCCCAGGTCCCAGGTGCCTGCGACTAGCTGGAGGAGGGAATCCTGGGTTCCAGGTGTGGGGTGAGGCAGAGGCAGTTAGGGGAGAACAGGCAAGCAGAGGAGCAGTTAGCGGCAATCAGGTAGGCAGGCAGAGGGGTGGGGGTGATCGGGCAGGCAGGCAGGTGAGCCGTTAGGAGCCAGTGGTCCAGGATTGCGAGAGGCGGTCGGACATCCCCCGAGAGGTCCCGGATTTGAGTGGGTGCAGGTCAGGCTGAGGGAACCCTCCCCCCCGTGCATGAATTTCATGCACTGGGCCTCTAGTATGCATATATATCATTTGATTAATCTCTTCCTGTATCCTCCCATTTCCACCCTCCTCACCTCCCCACTAAGATCTGTTATTCTGTTCTATGCATCCATACCTCAGGACCTATTTTGTTCATTAGATTCCACATATAAGTAAGATCATATTATATTTGTCTTTCTCTGAATGGCTTATTTCACTTAGCACAGTAGTCTCCAGGTCCCTCCATGCTGTCTCAAAAGGTGAGAGAACCTTCATTTTTACAGCTGCATAGTATTCCATTGTGTAAATGTATCACATCTTTTGTATCCATTCATCTATTGATGGTCACTTGAACTGTTTCCAGATTTTACCTATTATATAATGCTGCTATGAACATAGGGATGCATTATTTTTAATTTAAATTCTTTATTGTTTAAAGTATTACATATGTCTCCTTTTTCCCCCATGTGTCTGCGTCCATCGCTTATGCTTCTATGCATGCATACAAGTCCTTTGGTTGATCTCTCCCCCTTACTCCCACCCTCCCCTGCCTTCCCTCTGAGGTTTGATGGTCTGATCGATGCTTCTCTGTCTCTGGATCTGTTTTTGTTCATTAGTTTATGTTGTTCATTATAATCCATAAATGAGTAAGATCATGTGATGTTTATCTTTCTCCAACTGGCTTATTTCACTTAGCATAATGCTCTCCAGTCCATCCATGCTGTTGCAACTGGTAGGAGTTCCTTCTTTTTTATAGCAGCATAGTATTCCATTGTGTAGATGTACCACTGTTTTTTAATCCACACATCTGCTGATGGGCACTTAGGCTGTTTCCAAATCTTAGCTATTATAAATTGTGCTGCTATGAACATAGGGGTTACATATATCCTTTCTATTGGTGTTTCTGATTTCTTGGGATATATTCCTAGAAGTGGGATTACTAGGTCAAATGGGAGTTCCATTTTTAATTTTTTGAGGAAACTCCATACTGTTCTCCGCATTGGCTGACCCAGTCTACATTCCCACCAGCAGTGCACAAGGGTTCCTTTTTCTCCACATCCTTGCCAGCACTTGTCATTTGTTGATTTGTTGATGGTAGCCATTCTGACAGGTGTGAGATGATACCTCATTGTCGTTTTGATTTGCATCTCTCAGATGCATATATTCTTTATGATTGATGTTTTGGGCTTCTTTGGATATATTCCCAGAAGTGGGATCACTGGGTCAAATGTAAGTTATATATATATTTTTCGGGTTTTCGGGTTTTATTTAGTGATGTGAACATTAAGAATATGCCTACATCTCTGAAATATTCACAAGGGACATGATCTCATACACACATACACAAGGAGGAATAAAAAAATGCTCCTTTAGTCATCCAAACTGCTGTCAGGGACAGCAAAGTGCTTGCTTATTCCACTGGGGGGCTTCAGTCTTCATGAATGTTGAATATTTTAGCTACTTCATTTAGATCTTCATGTTGCTCAGGTTTGGTTTATTTATTTTAAATATATTTTTATTGATTTCAGAGAGGAAGGGAGAGGAAGAGAGATAGAAACATCAATGATGAGGGAGAATCATTGATTGGCCTGCCTTCTGCATGCCCCCGACTGGGCATGTGCCCTGAGCGAAAATGGAACCATGACTTCTTGGTTCATAGGTCAATGCTCAACCACTGTGCCGTGCTGAGAGAAGTGGTTGGCTGTCCTTACCTGACTGCTCTGTGGCAGATTTCGGGTTATCTTGTGCAGATGCTTTTGCAAAGACACCAACCGTGGGCAAACTACTATCCACAAGACCAATAGCTTCATAGCCAACATCAGGGCCCAAATCGCTCCAGAACATTGACTGATGCCAGTATGGCTTAGCAGCTCCAGTCATATTTTCTCCAGCCAATCTTCCGCTCACAATAGCATGATCATGGTGCTCTACCCTCCTCCTACCCAATTTTATATCATAGAAGCATGCAGCATCTCCTGCCACCCAGATGTTAGAGCGTGCTTGGAGCTCTGCATTTACCCGGAAGCCACCAAAATCTGAGTCTATTTCTAGTCCACCAGTCTTAGCCAACTCAACATTGGGCTCTAAGCCCACAGCAGCCACTATGTGGTCAGTTTCTACCTGAGGGAAAAGAGAAATAATTTGGTTATCATTTTCCATTGAGCAGGAATGGAACGTGACTTGGTACCCTGACTTGAGCAACTGGCTCTCCTTCTGGAGCTGTAGGCAACAGACCAGACAGGGTGAATTTTCTTAAAGTCTCAGATGATTCCTTGCCACTTTAAAATCACCTTGCACTTGTCTCAATCCTTTACATAAAGCTAGCAAAACACTGTATCTACAATTATCTTAATTTCTCAGGATCCTGATTGGACAGGAAAAGCAATTATTCCCTTCATTTCCTAAGTGGAAAATACCCAAAAAAGAAGTGAATGATTTGGCCAATATCATTCATTGATTACTAGTAAGTCTGTCAGAACTAGAACCGAGCTTAAATATTTAGCAATTTCTAAAACACCCAGGAGGTTAATTGGGGATTATTATACAATGTTCAAAAATAAGGAGGTGTTATTTACAAAAGCAATGTAAATCGACCATCCAGGGTTATGGGGCTTATTATAGGATTAAAACATTTCTCTCTGAAAAAAAGCAAGCCAGTTGTGTGTAATAGAAGTGCTGGCTAGGGCTACATGCTTTAGAAAAACAAAAACATCTTTAACAACTCAAAACTCCAAAAACTCAAGAGAACAAAATAGACCTAAAATAATTTCCACATTGAAAAAAGGCCTTTCTCTCTTTTCCAATAATCTTCCTCTCCAAGCTTGCCTTTTTAATATAAAGCTTGCCTTTTAAGAGTCTAATACAAAGAAAAACAACCCCCCTCAAAAAAACAAGGGGAAAAACACACACACATACACAAAAAGAAAAACAACCAATCATGATCCCCACTAACTTTCTTCTCAAACATAAATTCCAGTCAAATACTTTAACAAATCGCTGTCAGGTGTGGGTAATACCATAGATTCTGGAAGCTTACAATCTCTCAGCATCATCGTGTCAACAAGATAACTACAAAGCATAGTACCAAACTGTTTACAACTTTCCCTTCATATATTGAGCCTCAAATCATACATACCAGATAATGCGGCCCTCTTCTGTTTCTCTTCTGGTGTCAGCCCTAATCCTGAAATTCTTTCATTATATCTTTTTTGGTCACTTTTTATAAGCTTGTAGGCATAATAAACTCCTGCCCCAGTGACTGTTGCTCCTACAATTAAGAAGTATATTAGTCTGCTGCCATATTTCCCAGAAGCACCTGCGGACGCTAGTGATCTAGAAGGGGATCCTAGGTGATGACACTGCACAACTGGAAGCTGGTTCCTTTGCCTCGGGCCTCGGATGCACACAGTCCGCACCAAGGGCGCCAGCTTCTGCTTCAAAGCACCCGCTGCCAGGCTTCCACACCGGTACATTTCGGCAGCCGCTACTCGGGACCTCCTCCTTCCTTTCTTCTCATGTACTGACAGGTCAAACACCCTGGGCCCCGGCCCACTCCCCGCCCCCTTCGCTTCGCGCACACTGTAAGTTATATTTTAATTTTTTGAGCAAACTCCATACTGTTTTCCATAATGGCTGCACCAGTCTGCATTCCCACCAGCAGTGTACTAGGGTCCCCTTTCCTCTACATCCTTGCCAGTGCTTGTTATCTGTTGATTTACTGATGGTAGCCATTCTCGCAGGTGTGTGGTGATACCTCATTATAGTTTTAATTTGCATCTCTCTGATGTTTAGTGAAGTTGGGCATTTTTTCATATGGCTATGTTCTCTTTGGAGAGGTGCTTATTCACATGATCTCACTTATGGGTGTTTGTGTTTAAATTTGGGTCATAAAATATCTACAGTATAAAATTGAATTTATTTGTCAGATGTGTTTCGTATGACTTGAG